GTGCAGGGGAAGGGGAGGCCGCCGGTGCAAGGGAAGGGGAGGCCGCCGGTGCAAGGGAAGGGGAGAGGAGGAAAAGGGGAAGCTGCCGGTGCAAGGGAAGGGGAGGCCGCCGGTGCAAGGGAAGTCAAGGGGAGGAAAGGGGAGGGGAGGCCGCCGGTGCAAGGGAAGGGAAGAGGAGGGAAGGAAAGGGGAGGGGAAGCTGCCGGTGCAAGGGAAGGGAAGAGGAGGAAAGGGGAGGCCGCCGGTGCAAGGGAAGTCAAGGGGAGGGGAGGCCGCCGGTGCAAGGGAAGGGAAGAGGAGGGAAGGAAAGGGGAGGGGAAGCTGCCGGTGCAAGGGAAGGGAAGAGGAGGAAAGGGGAGGCCGCCGGTGCAAAGGAAGGGAAGAGGAGGGGAGGCCGCCGGTGGCAGCAGACAATTACCGGCGACTGTGAACCGGTCCATGTAGTTCAGGAGGTTGACGTAGAAGAGAATTAGCACGATGGCGAGGGAATGGCGGTATGAGATTCCCGTCAGGTGGTGCACGTCTCCCTCCCCGCCCCCTGCATCTTCCTCTTCATCATCCGCCGCCTGGCCATCCGGGACCCTGGACCTGTCCTCCTCCGTGTCATCCGCCTGGGTCAGGAAGGGGGTAGTGTCTCCGACGCTGTGCCGCAACGCCATCTTGTTCCGTAACTAAGGCACCGGAAAACCTGCGAAATGCGTTCAGACTTTTGTTATAGTGAACCAAGAATTCATGAATCAATTACAAATACGTCCTTGTGCTCCAGGGAGTCCCCGCCCCCTCCGATAATAAAGACCGCTCACTGCTGCTTTCTCTCCTTGTGCAGGGTGACTGGTCTTGTCTCCGCCCCCTCCTGTAATAAAGACCGGTCACTGCTGCTTTCTCTCCTTGTGCAGGGTGACTGGTCTTGTCTCCGCCCCCTCCTGTAATAAAGACCGGTCACTGCTGCTTTCTCTCCTTGTGCAGGGTGACTGGTCTTGTCTCCGCCCCCTCCTGTAATAAAGACCGGTCACTGCTGCTCTCTCCCCTTGTGCAGGGTGACTGGTCTTGTATCCGCCCCCTCACTGCTGCTCTCTCCCCTGACTGGTCTTGTCTCCGCCCCCTACTGTAATAAAGACCGGTCACTGCTGCAGGGTTGAAGGTGCGGGAGGGGCAGGAAGGACCAGGATGTCACACGTTAGACACGTACGATTACTGCTCGGGCAGGATCAGAGCTGCGCTGTGACAGGAGACTCGGGACTCTTCAGAAAAGATAAAAGATGCTGACAGCACAAGAGCAGGCGACGGCCTCCGTCCTACACAGGAGGGGGGGAGGGGTGACGCCTCGGCTCTTTCATGTCACGTGGCTGTAAAACAAGATACAGAAGTGGTGACATTACGACATGATTGGCACCGTGCGGACGGCTCCGAGTCCCAGCACGCCGTGTGAGAGAGCGCAGAGGAGTCACCAGACTCTTATCATCAGGTAACGTAGATGGGAAGCCGACATCCAGCTAATAAACAATTGTCATTTATCGATACCGCTCTCATCATTTCATCATCTCCAAGGCATCTCCTGCAGCCTCTTTCTGTCAACGTAGGGACACAGATGGGAGACGGGGACAGAGTGGTGTCACTCCATAACAGGAAGTGCCTGAACAAGGTCCTTCAAGGCAGGATCACCAAGCCGATCCTTTTTTTTTTAGGCACTTCCTGTTATAGGGTGACAACGCTCTATCTACAAATTGTGCCCTTGCAATGACAAAAAGTGACAAGTAGGAGACAGGGACAGAGAGTTGTCACCCCATAACAGGAAGTACCTACAGAAGGTACTCCAGGGCAGGATCACGAGGCAGGTTCTTTTTCAGGCACTTCTTGTTATTGGGTGGCAACCCTTTGACCCAATTGTGCCCCTAAGTTGACCAGAAGTGACGATCTGGAGAGAGGGACAGACTGTTGTCACTGTATAACAGGAAGCACCTGGACAAGGTCCTTCATGGCAGGATCACCAGGCCAATCCTTTTTTAGGTGTTTCCTGCTAGAGGGTGACACTCTGTCACTGTCCTTCAATTGTCACTACTGGTCATTGTAGGGGCACAATTGGCAGACAGGGTCAGAGAGCGTTGTCACCCAATAACAAGAAGTGCCTAAAAAAAGGAGCTGCCTTGTCATCATGCCAAGAAGGACTTTGTTCAGGCACTTCCTGTTATTGGATGACAACACTCTGTCCCCAAATTGCCACTTCTCGTCTACATAGGGGCACAACTGGGACAGAGTGTTGTCACCTTATAACAGGAAGTTCCTGAAGAAGATCCTTAACAGCAGGATTACGAGGCAGGTCATTTTTCAGGCACTTCCTGTTATAGGGTGACAACACTCCTTCACAATTGTGCCCCAATGTTGACATGAAGTGACAATTGGGAGACAGGCACAGTGCGTTGTCACCCTATAAAAGTAAGAGCCCGAACAAGGACCTGCCTCGTGATCCTGCCATGAAGGACCTTCCTTTGGGGTACTTCCTGTTATAGGGTGACAATGCTCTGTCCCTGTCCTCCGAATGTGCTCCTCCATGGTCGCACTGGCTTCTGCCGGACACTACGAATCACACAGACATGGTCCAGCGATGAATGATGCCGAGGGGGGGGGAGCGTCTAATTACTGCAGCGTGACCGGCCCGCAGCATCTGACATCTGGCTGTATTGTCTGCGATCAGCTTTGTAAACAAGCCACCATTACTGGGGCCCCTGCCAACGGGCGCCTGACCCAGTCAAACGGGTTTCCTATTCTCTATAGGAACGCCAAACCCGCTCACAGCGGACCTTCCAGAGCACACGGGTGGTCCGCTTTCTTGCCAGCTCCCCTCCCCCACCCCAAACACAAAATGACTGTGATCTGGTGGGGTATTTGCATGGTGTATGCTTTGGAAAAGGAGATCTGCATGGAGTACACTCTGAAGGGGGGGTGCCTGGAGTACCATGCAAACCGGAAGAGGGGGGTCTGCATGGAATGTGAGATGGGGGTGGGGGGGAAGGAAGAGTCTGCATGGAGTGCAATCTGTGGGGTATATTGAACAACATTGGGGCTCCCTAATAGCCACAAACTATTCTGAGTCAATGGGATTCTTTCTGTAAACACAATTCCTGGGTTCCAAAACAACGGGTGACTCTTAGTCTGGGGGCCCCAGGACATGTGTGGGCCACAGCTTACCCTGGTTGTTAGGGGGACTACAAGTGCCAGCACTGCACTCACCATGTCCTATAAGAAATCTGCAGCCCGAGCCAAACCCCCTCCTCCAGTGCCCCGCCAGCATCAATAATAGGCCCAGCATTGCCCTCACTCACCAGCCGGCACCCGAACTCCGCAGCTGTCCGGGGTTATTGTCCGCTCTGCCTGTCACTTCCGCTCAGTCCGGCGCCATCTTGCTACTCCACGATCATGTGACCGCCCCTCTATCGGCATGTGACTGCGGCTCATCGGCGGCCAAGTGACAGTAGCCACTGCGCATGCGCTGCGCCCAATATTTATTTACACAATTATACCTGGCGTAGGTAATAGAAGATCATTATTTACTGTACAAGTAGAAATGTCACTGATGGGTGGAGTGCTCGTTTATTTAGCATCAGGTTACATTCTGTTATTTTCCATATAAATATCATCTATATACTGTATCTATAAACATGTATTTACCTATAGAGATACACTATATTGCCAAAAGTATTGGGACGCCTTTACACGCACATGAACTTTAATGGCATCCCAGTCTTAGTCCGTAGGGTTCAGTATTGGGTTGGCTCAGCCCTTTGCCGCTATAACAGGTTCAACTCTTCTGGGAAGGCGTCCACAAGGTTTAGGAGCGTGTCTATGGGAATGTTGGACCATTGGTGAGGTCAGGTACTGATGTTGGACGAGAAGGCCGGGCTCGCAGTCTCCGCTCTAATTCGTCCCAAAGGTGTTCTATGGGGTTGGGGTTGGGGTCAGGACTCTGTGCGGCCAGTCAAGTTCCCCCCCTCCCCATCCATGTCTTTATGGACCTTGCTTTGTGCACTGGTGCGCAGTCATGTTGGAACAGGATGGGGCCATCCCCAAACTCCTCCCACAAAGTTGGGAGCATGAAATTGTCCAAAATGTCTTGGTGTGCTGATGCCTTGAGAGTTCCCTTCACTGGAACTAAGGGGCGGAGCCTAACCCCTGAAAAACAACCCCCCCATAATCCCCCCTCCACCAAACTTTACACTTGGCACAATGCAGTCAGGCAAGTACCGTTCTCCTGGCAACCGCCAAACCCAGACACGTCCATCGGATTGCCAGACAGAGAAGCGTGATTGGTCACTCCAGAGAACACGTCTCCACTTCTCTAGAGTCCAGTGGCGGCGTGCTTTACACCACGGCATCCCACGCTTTGCATTGCACTTGGTGATGTAAGGCTTGGATGCAGCTGCCCGGCCATGGAAACCCATTCCATGAAGCTCTCTACGCACTGTTGTTGTGCCAATCTGAAGGCCGCATGGAGTTTGGAGGTCTGTAGCTATTGACTCTGCAGACAGTTGGCGACTTCTGCGCACTGTGTGCTTCAGCATGCGCTGACCCCTCTCTGTCATGTGACATGGCCTACCACTTCCTGGCTGAGTTGCTGTTGTTCCCAGTTGCTTCCACTTTGTTATATTACCAGTAACAGGTGACCGCGGAATATTTAGTAGCCAGGAAATGTCACGGATGGACTTATTGCACAGGTGACAACCTATCACGGTACCACGCTTGTAGTCACTGAGCTCCTGAGAGCGACCCATTCTATCACCAATGTCTGTAGAAGCGTCTGCATGGCGAGGTGCGTCGTCCTATACACCGGGGGCAATGGAGGGGATTGGAACACATGAATCACATGATTTGGAGGGGGAGGGGCCCAATACTTTTGGCAATATAATGTATATTGAGGGGAATTCCCTAAGACTGGGGCAGATTCTGGAGCAGTTGCCCATGGCAACCAATCAGCTTCTAGCTTTCCAGATAAAAGCTGATTGGTTACTGTGCCAAAAATATACTTTTCCCCCAAATGTATCTTTTTTGGTGTAAAAAACCCCCCCTTCATATTGTATCTTTATGCTCTTGTAGATGTAGAGTGGTCAGTGCAGAATGGGAGGAGATCTGTAGTCAGTTCAGGATGAGAGGAGATGTGTAGTCGGTTTAGGATGGGAGGAGATGTGTAGTCGGTTCGGGAGGAGATGTGTAGTCGGTTTAGGATGGGAGGAGTTGTGTAGTCTGCAGGTTCCCCCCTCCTCTGACAATGTGGTGAGAGTCTCTCCTCCAGTGTCTATGGGCACCATAACCTGAACACTGAACCGTAAACGTTGAATAAACCCCCCTAAAGAGCACCTGTCATCACCATCCGACAGGTTCCCTCCCCATGATTTATATCCTGTGTCTGTAGTCTGGGGTCCTTCTTGTGGCTGGCAGATAGAAGTAATCACAGTGCGGCAGGCGACCTTATCTCCGGGGTCCAGGCATACAACAATGGCCCTGCAGCCACCACACAATACAATGCCGGATGGGGGGGGGGGATATTCTTGAAGTGGGAGGGTGTGCATTATATACAGACATTGGGGGGTCACAGGGAGTCAGACAAGATGAGGAGACGGAGAGGACAGACCGAGATCAGAGCGGAGCGGGCGAAGAGAGGACACCCAAAATGGGAGCGCTGGGAGGTATAGTACTGTGTG